AACTTCATATTCTGCAGCGTGAGGAGATCACCTGTGCAGCCTACCGACCAAGTCAAGCTCGTCATTAATCACTTGAGTGCCGAATGATCAGTAATAATCTCAAAAACCCGTCCGTACAGATACGATCTGAACAACTTTACACTCCAAAGCACCGCCCCAACATTCCAACTCCGTAATCGAGTAGTTAGATTCCGCACTACTGTTAACTTTGCTCGCATACGCAATAGGTTGCCCAACCTCGACCCTGGTCTTGCATCAAACAAGCTCCCCAACCCGACTGTACTGGGGGTCGAAACGGTAACGTAAAATCTGGGTAGACGAGTGAGGGCTTGGTGGTCAGTGCCGCTTTTATCCGCTCAAACTCAAATTCCTGGTCTTCCGTCCAACTCCATTCTTGATCCTTCTTTAGTAACCGTGTCAGTGGGGTCACTATCGATCCAAAAGCCTCGATGAACTTCCTGTAGCACCCAGCCAAGTGAACAATCGCTTGACAGCTACTGGATCCTCCGGTCGAGGGAACTCCGCCACTGCCGATACCAAGCGTTGCACTGGTCGAACTCCATCACAGCTCAACTCGTGCCCCAAATACTCCATTGATTTAGTAGCGAATACACATTTCTTTAGCTTCAATGTGAGACCTGCCGCCGAAAGCCTCTCCAGAACTGTTGCTAGCTCCACTACGTGTCGTTCGATACCTCCACGAGTGAACACCACTATGTCGTGAGATACACTAAGCACGACAACCAAGTCAATCCTCGTAGAACGCCGCTCATCATTCGTTGAAATGTCGAGGGAGCATTCATCAGCCCGAACGGCATCCTCTTGAACCGGTAAAGTCCCTGTTTGGTCGTGAACGCTGTCTTGTCTTGATCCTCTGGTGCCATGCCTACCTGCCAGTATCCAGAGCGTAGATCTAGTGTGGTAAACAATCGTGCACCGCCCAGAGCTTCCAAAGTTTCATCCATTCGGGGAAGAGGGTAAATATCTTCCTTCGTGATCTTATTGAGTGCTCTGTAGTCGATACAAAATCGTACTTCGCCATCTTTCTTTTGAACTAACACTACCAGAAAGCCCCAGGCTCCGTTACCCTCTTCGATCACACCAGCTTTCAACATTTTACGTACGTTTTCTTCAATAATCGCATCCTCCAATTGTGCGTGCCGTCGTCGTTTCAACATTAGTGGGGACTCGTTTCCAGTATCAATATGATGTTGCACATCTAGTGCCGTGACTGGAAGGCAGTCACCGTTCTCTGCCGACACTTTACGATACGCCCGTAGCAACTTCATCACCAACGCTCGAGATTCCGAGTCTTCTTCACCGATTCGAACCTCTTCCTCGTTTTCCAAAGGCGTCACCGTGTCTCCTAATTCGTGAAACTACTCATTCAACTTGTCACGATCGATCGCTCCACTCATCGCCAACGTTTGCATGTCATGCTCCAGCGAGATCCATTTGCCCAGTTCTTTCCGGCATGGTAGTTTCACCCTGCCACCTTGCACATTGATCACTGGAGCTAATGCTTTGCCGTTCTTACTCTTTGTTAGAGTTGTCGCCATCATGACAGATCCACAGGGTACCGTAGGTACGAAGAGTCCTTCTTCTCCATCCGGGGCTTCCACCGCCACTTCCACT